GGAAAGAATTTATACCGGAAATTAACAAACAAGCAGATACGTAACAGAACCATTCTATGAGCCGCTCAACCACAGCTAAAAATCATAATTCTAGTGTAAATGATGTTATTATTACTCCTTGAAGTTAGTTTTCTTACAGAAATTTGATGTTCCTTTAAAAAGCTTAAGTACAGGTAACAAGAACTACCAGCCAATAATAAATAAACAATAAATATTACAGTTGGAACCTCATTGTATTCAGAACTTGGTTATAAATACAACCGTCCTATGTCTATTAAAACAAGAAAAGCAAGAATTAGCATATAGCAATATATATAATTATTCACTCACAATTGAGTTCAATTAATCCTATTTTTGTCTATTAATATTCCACTACACTGTGTGGCTGTTCTATTACGTAGGGATGATGCAAATGTCATCATTACTATCTTGTTTGCATTGTTTTTGAAGGATTGATATTAGTCAACCCTTCATTTACTTCCTTTTTTTTTGAAAAGCATTTTCTTTATTTGTTGATATTAATAAGCTTACCTTGCTGACCGAATCCTCTGTTTTAGGAAATATACTATACCTTTCAGGAAATATTTGTCTCCATCTTTTGCAGTCTGCTGATAAGTTAATTTTATTTTAGAGTATAGAAGCACCACCTAGACCAATGTCTTGGACGACTTTGAACTTGAAAGGTCGAGATCATTTCATATTTAGATTTCACATAGTATAAAACTCACAATTTGATTACAATGTTCTAATTTTGGGCTGAAATTACAATGGCGTGTTTCCTCTTGTCCATGAGAATGAATAAGATTAAATCCAATTGCTTTATCTTACAGATGACTTAAACATAAGATCAAATGTTTAAACGCACGAGAAGAGATACTGGAAAATGAATACTCAAGAGCAGATAAGTTTAGCAAAACTTACATATATATGTGTTGTCTTTCACATACAAAACCTACACATATATATGAATGTTGTCTTTCACATTCAAAACTTACATATATATATATATGTTGTCTTTCACATACAAACTTACATATACATATGGATGTTGTCTTTCACATACAAAACTTACATATATATATGCATGTTGTCTTTCACATACAAAACTTACATATATATGTGTTGTCTTTCACATACAAAACTTACACATATATATAGGTATGTTGTACTTCACATACAAAACTTACATATATATATGTATGTTGTCTTTCACATACAAACTTACATATATATACGTATGTTGTCTTTCACATACAAACTTGCATATATATATATATATGTGTGTATGTTGTATTTCACATACAAAACATGGTAATATTTATACAGTTGCTGGAGTTGAGATTGTATAGTAGAAGCCTTAATCTTACTACCGTAGAGAGAAAATATGTAACTGGTGGGCAATAACATTATAATGAAAATAGAATGTTGCAGAAGTATAAATATTTTATCTGTTAAATAACAGTTTATTTCCTTATGGAAGTGAAAAACTAGCTTCAACTTTTAACGAAATCTTCACTAAAAAGGAGAGGAGCTACTTTTAAACTTTGCATATTAGAACTTAATCATCATTTCGGGCATATTTTTTCGGTTTGAATGTTAAGTAATACTAACGAACCTATGCCTTAGAAAACCTATAATTAACAGAATTGAAAAAGCATATTAATGGTTCATTAATTTTCTATACATTATTATGCTATAGATAACATTTTAAAAATGAAATAGAAATATTTTACTTTACAAACGCACGCTCTGATTCCACTGTTAAAACCTGCAATCAAATCGCCTATATTGCGTTTCAGCAAACTTGTTTTTCTTAGAGATCGGTGGTGAATGGCGACCCCGCCGGCTTTTGTAATGTTCCTTTTGTATCACACATAACTTTCTTTCACCTATCTTGCATCAGGCACGTTTCTAATCTTTTCTGCAATACTTTTTGTCTATATAATACGTTACATATGTTCCACTTGAGGCACTGCTAAAAAATATAAATAATAGTCAAATCCACTGTACAAAATTATAGCAACTACCACACGTATTCATCAGATGACATAAAGGTAAACTGAAGAATGATTTTTTATTGGATTTAGCGTAAAAAAGCACGTAAAATGTCTGCGTTTGTCGTCCATAATTTTCAAACGATAAAGGGAAAGCAACTAATGAACCCTTGAGTTACTCATGATAGTAGGATTGGACCGTCACTCTTACGATGTACTCAGGACTCCAAAGTGTGGAATGCCATTTTTAGGGGGGGGGGGATCAGTAACGAGACTCAAACCACGGAATCTCAACTCCACCGTTCGTTCACGTTAACCACTTGATCCCTGAAAGAGAGATTGACCTTGTTTTGAAACATTAGGTTTGTTTTTGCCAAAATTCCAAGCATCCTTTAATTATTTTGTTTAGTACACGTTCTAACATACAATGAATTTTTTTATCTCATTAAGTTACACACACTGACTTCTTGTCTACATAATGCTTTACACAGACCAAGCTGCTCCTACGCATAATTTTTACAATTACAGTTCTTATCTGCGTACCGCACATACACTACATATTTATCTTCATGCGTTATACACACCCCACTTCTCATCTTCATAACTCTTACAGAACACATTTCTTATTTGCATGATACATAATTTCAGATTTCCACATGTGATACACATGTCAGTTTTTATCTCCATAAATCTTACAGAACACATTTCTTATTTGCATGATACATAATTTCTGATTTCCTCATGTGATACACATGTCAGTTTTTATCTCCATCAATCTTACAGAACACATTTCTTATTTGCATGATACATAATTTCAGATTTCCTCATGTGTAACACATGTCAGTTTTTATCTCCATCAATCTTACAGAACACATTTCTTATTTGCATGATACATAATTTCTGATTTCCTCATGTGATACACATGTCAGTTTTTATCTCCATAAATCTTACAGAACACATTTCTTATTTGCATGATACATAATTTCTGATTTCCTCATGTGATAACACATGTCAGTTTTTATCTCCATCAATCTTACAGAACACATTTCTTATTTGCATGATACATAATTTCTGATTTCCTCATATGTAACACATGTCAGTTTTTATCTCCATAAATCTTACAGAACACATTTCTTATTTGCATGATACATAATTTCTGATTTCCTCATGTGATACACATGTCAGTTTTTATCTCCATAAATCTTACAGACCACATTTCTTCATCCTATACAATATTAGTCAGAGGTTGGAGATGTTAGGTTAAGACGATTTTGGAGGAACAGCTCGTCAATGCAGTCTATGTCTCCACATCTGGTCGTGTTCTATACGACGACCGTGCATTTTGATAATAGCCCTGCAGCGTAGCTACATTGTAAATAGCTCCATCGTGAGGTTTTATGTTCAGAAAACACCTCTCCTAGCTTTCTATAATCAGTCTCGTGTATAAGGACGACGATTTCCCAGCGCTCATTTCAGCAGTTCATATTTCCTAAAAGCGATCGATTATCGGTGGTATCAGGATACCTACATAGCAGTTATTTTTAGTTATAATTGTATTTTCGATTTTGATTTTTAAATAGCAAATTAAAATTATGTTACATTAGACGTGCTACAAATAGTTACCAAAGTTTGTAAGTTATAAAAATATAATTCATTTTGATTTGCAGTACAAATATACTAAGATAATTAAGATTATTTCCTTGTGGTGATAGCCAAGAAGGATATATTCGCCAGTTCTATCCTGGTGCTTTCCCTCTTTTTCTTTCACTGATTCAGATATGTATTTTTCATTTTCTTTTTTTATGTCTATTGATGTCTTCATATTTTGTTGGTGAATTATCAAAATCGTTTCACGACACGTTGTTGAATGTCACCAACGGTGAGCTTGGAGTTAAGCTTCTGGAAAAGCTGATGGCCTTGACGGTATGGTAATACAATTAAATAGAGCAGGCCGAAAAGTGGGCAAGAGACCATCTCTGACTAAACATCTCGTGGTTCTATCCGACTGTGCAGATCGCTTGTTGACTTCAGCCGCACGAGACCGGCATGGTTCCTGTGGTAAGCATAGAACCCACGTGCACACGCGCGTGGTTTTATTTATTAACCTTGTAGAGATATAAGAAAATGAATTAAACTGAATAAGACATAAATCTTATAGCACTACATAAAAACCTAGTTTTTATGTAGTGCTATAACTTTGTACTGCACTTCTGATTTTACGGATTTTCCTGTTAAAACATGTTACAGTTAATTCTGCATCATTGATTTGTATATTCTATGTTTGTATTTGGTATTCGTCACCCAAAAATTGTATTCAAATCAATTTTGTGTTTTATACATTCCTATTTTTACTAAAACTACGAATGCGAGCTTCTGAAGCATATATTGATGTATACAATGTATATATCAAAACTGATAACGAAACAAACTATCCGTATTGTTCAGTATTAGTGTAGTAATAGTGTTAGATATTTTGTATTGAACATTTCATCTTGTATATTTTCTTCTACATCTTGTTTTCTTCTTTTCATGTTGTTAAACACTTTATCATGCGTATATAGATATTTAATTTAATTAACGTTTCTCGTATATATTGCTAAAGGATAATCTATAATGTACATGTTAACAAGTACATTTTGTCAGATAAACCGAAGAGTCATATTGTAAATAAAAAATAACGAATCATTGATCATATGTTACATTATTGTATATAGGAAAGAATAAGTCATTGTTGTTGATAGAAAATAAGTAATTGATTATATTTGCCATTAGTTTTAGGCCTATTATAATTTTAACACTGCATTTCTTGCCTAGTCCCTTAGGGATTTTCAAGAATTAGAAGAGTGTATCATGAACCACGATATTCAAATATTTTAAAAGAGCATACGGGCAAAAACCATTTTAAAAAGCAGACTTGTTCTTGAAACAACGCTCAAGACCTTCTATCTCAATAGCTAAGGCTGCTAAAATATTGATAATAGCAAAAAAGATGACTTTCCGATTGTTAGACAGAATTCATCCATTTTCTCTTCATATTATTATTGTTCCACAAGCCTTCGGAAAAAACTGCTTTTAATCTGTTATTAAAACTTGGGAAAAACCTACTAAAAAACTCCTGTACAGGTTATAGGACTATTTTTATGTTGACTCTTGAAAGAGAAGGAGAGATATTATGAGTTTTTTCATCGCTACTGGCCAAGTTTCTCATCAAAGCCATTCAAGCACCGAAGCCTACAGCAAGAACGGTTAGGTATACTGCGCCAAAATCTATGCACAGCTACTAAACAAACTCCTGTGAAGGTCGTAGGGCTATTTTTAAGTTTATTCTTGAAAGTCGAGATTTCCACCTTCTAAAATTTTCTAAGTTCTTCTTCGCTACCAACATAAGCTCTTCGAAGTCATTCAAGCATCGCAGAAATGTAGAAGTCATTTAAGCTCTGTTATACTAGTCAGAAATGCTTCATTTTATTAGAGTATACAATGTGTATATTTATAACAGTGTCTCCAGCCTCGGTAATATTGATTATAGTTTTACAAACCACTACAGTAAAAACGGCTACGAATATTTTACTGAAACCTGGACATTAGTGAAGAATGCAGTATTGAGTATGTCATAGGGGTAGTTTTAAAATTAATTCAAGCGCCTTCGTTTTTTCGCCCTGAAGAATTTCTCTAAGTCCTTCCCTTTCCGCTATTGAAAAGTTCTGGTGTTTTACTGATGCACATTAATTGGAAAATAGTCTGTGCAACTTATCGTGCATTAATTGGAAACTATCACATTGAGGATTCATCATTTCTCGAGTTCGCTGTTGTACTTTGTCTCTACGTGGTTTTCTGTGACTATTTCAGTGAATTTTCTAACAGAAGACGATTACAATAGTAGATTTCTCTCTCTTGTGAGAGGTGATTTATTCTACTGATTTTCGTACTTCACTTCAATTATGAGTGCGTAATTTAATATTATTTTATTATCATTATTCATATTTTTATTTCACAAGGCTACAGCAAAATCAGTAGATATACTATACGAAATGCTGCAAATGTCCATGACCTATTTGAAAAGTTTATTTTTTTTTCATGCAAAGTTGATTTACGTGGCTATAAATACATAATATATGTGATGTTGTTGTAAGCGCTTCCTTTGTACTCGAAGCTTGTTAAATGCGTGTTTACACGAAACCTCAGGTACAAAACCATCTGGCTCCGTAGATAATTGGTGGGTGGGAAAAAAGCCAATGCAGTAGTAAACCATTGAAAAACATGTAATATTCAACTGATTGCATATGCACATATGTAGCTTAAAGTTTATTTTCCATAAATGAACATAAAACGTAAGAAACAAGATAACTAAAAATTTTTAATTTTAAAAAGGGAATAGTATTGTCAAAAAAGTACAGAAACAAATTGAATCAAAATGCAAAGATAATATTTTCAAGCCTACAGCTAGGGACTCTAAAAAAATTAAACAAACTAGGGTGGAAATAGTGTTTACATAATTTTCTGAAACTACAAATCCCTATTTTGACTCTACTAAAATTGATAAGTACTGTAGACATGGTAAAGCTTGAAAACATAATCTTTCCATTTTGATTCAACTTGTTTCTGTACTTTTTATGATTCCTATTCCCCTCTTTAAATTAACAATTTTTAATTATCTTGTAATAATAGTGTTTCAACTACACTATTTTGTTCATATAAATTACCGACAACGCGTTTCATTTAGTCCAGTACTCGTCAGGCCGGCTGAGATATAACAAACACAGTAGTGGTCGGAACACTATTTATATAAGTCATTTGTTTCAACAACAACCGTAATGATGTGAACGCCTTTCTAAGCTGACGAAGCATGGATATGATTAAACACACTTGTTATAAGACATTAGTATTAGGCTTATTTTATTTTAACACTACTTTCTTTATTCACTCTCTTCAAGTTTTCATTTTTCCAAGAAGAAGAAAATCGTATAATAGTATTTCAACAACATTATGTCTGCCATATTCATTGTCGACGATGTGTTGCAATTCTATTCTACAACTTCTTCTTCTTGAAAAAATCCTAAGGGAGTGAATAAAGGATATAGTGCTAAAAATATCATAGGCCAAATACTAATGCCTTATGACAAGTTTAATTAATTATAACCATGCTTCGCTAGCTTAAAAAAGGCGTTCACAGCATAACAAGAATGTAAAATTGTTTTACTGAGAATGTTTTTTTATATTATTAGAAAATAAAAATAATGTTTTACTGTAGTTTTTGATGACACTTTGTAACATTTTTGTAGATTGAAAAGATTATTCATTATTTACACTTTAACGATATTTTTCATTGTTATAACGTAGAAACAATGTGTCTTTAATGGTGATATTTTCTTTACATTGTTATAGACTGAAATGAACGAGTTGTTGTTCTTACTGGTGATGGTTTCTTATTCTTATGAGTGAAAGCAAAAAATAATGTGTCAAATATACTATACCTGTCATATCCAGTACCGATGAGGCCTTTAGTCAATACCAAGGCTCATTAGGGCGGCTGGGATACAATAGTAGCTAGGAAAAAATGTGGCATTCTTCTGACTGCTGACTATAAAACATTGTTTTATATTCGTGAATAGTCTATCTTTGTTTCTATAGTAACGCTTTCTTAGATAGTTGTACGCACAATAAAACGAATTATTATGCTTGCTTTTATTGGTTTCATAGAATATGGTATTTTATTTTTTAATATATATATATTTGCTTTCTGCGTTGAGATAGTTACAGGATTATATATGAATATGAGTGATGATGTATTGATGTTACAACAAGTCAGTTTGATGTTTTTGACAAATACATTTCACTTACTCTTGTATTTTTGATATTAATAGGTGCACCTATTTCCCTTAGTGTAATCTGTAGGTTCTGCGGAATAACAGGAGGTCAGATAGAAAATGCATCACAGAGCAAAGCTGTATTATCTGACTTCGACTGAGTTTGAAGCAAAGAAAGAGACTTGGCACATTGTAAAATACAGTAAAACAATATTTGTGTAACACTCAGAAGAACAATTAAAGTCGAGGCAAATGTGTTTTATGCCGCCTTTATTGGAGAGAACACTCAATAAAATAGATGTAAAAGTGTATTTACATTCTAGGCTAAAAAAATAAAGCATTATATACATGAAACTATAATGCCGTTCTTACCAGGGTGAATGCAATAAACACTTCACTGTTGGTCATTTCCATTGCAAAATAAGAGAGGTCGTTTCTCCAAGGTATCAACTGACCTACCACTGAAAAAGATCACTCTCCACTCCTATAAAATATATCAACTTTGAAGAAATCTTTTTCTACGAGAAAGAATACGTTATACCCTGGATGAATGACCCAGTACAATAGGAAACTATGGTAAAACGAAAAATGAGCTACTTTCTTAACTAATGCGCTATGTTAAAATTACATATACTTACATGTATGAAAACTTTGAAACTTTTCGTATTAAATAAGGATGTAAAACACGTAGTATGCCTGCATGCTACACATTATCTCCTATATTTTAAGTATCCTGTATTACCCATTAGTTTTTAACGTAAAATTTTAAATATTAATAGTTACCAGCAACTTACTATGTGTCAGTAAAACCTGTATGAGAATTATTTTTCTGGTTTCTAGCTGACTTAAAATAAGTTTATGATACGCTTTGCTACTTCTACTCTTTTTTTTTCTGACTAGGTGCTCACGTGAAAGTTTTGGCATGTTTGCTACTGGTAGCTTCTTTTAAAAGGAGCTAGTATATTTTGTAGTTGTGGCTTCACTTGGTCAGTATTTCCTCAAAATATCCATCCCGTAATATAATGGTTAGTTTAGATTTAAATTGACAAGATGTTTAAAATTTTTACTTGGTGAAATTTTCAGGTTTTATTATATGTATGGGCCGGATTCTTTACAGTAGGTGTCTGTGAGTTGTTGGCGATAAATTTCAACAATAAACAAACAGCCCACAGCCTGCTTGTTTTAAAATACAAATGTTCGTTACACTGTTGATTATCACAGTTGTATCCAGAGCTTTAAATAATTGTTTCT